GCTGTTAGCAACTTAGGGGCGGGGGCGGTCTCTCTCTCTCACTACAAAACACAGATGAGGAAAAGGATAAACAACGGGAACAGAAAATTTTCCAAATGGCCATAGGCTGCAGTAACAAACAACGACTGTCAACACCAATGTGGAGAAGCATTTTAGCTGGCACATCATTCACCCAATCGTAGCGGTCGCTTTGCCACTGAAACCTGTGACTTCCCTGGCCACAGACTTTTGCTTCCCTGTACCAGGTACCAGATGTGACTTTCCCGCCCTGTGAAGTTGTCCTTAAGCCCAATCACAAATTTGGGTCTACCCATAAGCACTCTTGGCACTATCTGGCACACTTGGCCTGGCACTTCCGTTGTGAAGTATCTAGGACCCAAGCTGAACAGGACTTGCAACCTCAGTTCCCCCAGCAGCATCCATAGCAACCGCTAGCTAGCAGGGAAGAGGCACTTCGGTCCAGTCCTAGCTCTGTTTCTCCAAGTCTGGCAGCCAAAGCATGCACTCGCTTTAGCAACGGAGTCTTAACGCTCATTCTGGAATGCAGCTAACAACTGTGGCAAAAGCCTGTATTGTTTCAGTGGGCTCTAAAGCCCCTGTAACCAACAACCCTGAGGAAAGTAACCCGTTCCTGACACCGAGATACCCAGTGGTTTTACTTACGTGACAGCTGCGGTGATGAGACGCCATGGCCAAAAGTGACCTGAGGAGGAAAGGCTTTCTTCTGCTTACACTTCCGTATCACAGTTCATCATTGAAAGAAGTCAGAGCAGGTCAGCAACCTGGAAGCAGCAGCTGCTTACAAGCTTCATCTCTCAAGGATCACTCAGCTGCTGCTTTCTTATAGAACCCAAGACCACCAGCCAAGGGTGTCCCTGCCCACAGTGAGCTGGACCCTCCCACATCCATCACTAATTAAGAAAATGTCCTACAGCCGGATCTTAGGGAGGTATATTCTCAGTTGAGGTTCCCTCTTGGATGACTCTAGCTTGTGTCAAGTTGACATAAAAACCAACTGGCATACCAATTAATCTCCTCTTGGCTTCTGGGAGCATGTTTTTACCTTTTGGATACTCTAACATTTACAGGCACAGGCTACGGCCATCTTCCACAATTACCTTGATGGCTATCACTTGCGACTTTCCTAGCCACACCTGGCCACAGCCACACCTGGCCTTTCGCACCATTGTGCCCTAAGTCCCCATGCTTGCTTCTTGCCTGTGCACTTGCCTGGCTCTTAACCGAGTCTCCGACTCAGTGAAACAGTCCAACCAAGTTTAGGGTTAACGCTATCCATGTGTAAGAAGACCTTTATACGGAGGCTGAGCAGAACAACGTCTTCAAGCCCGGAGCCACGCCAAAATGAAGAGTGGCAGTGTGGAGATAACCCTTAGTGAGGCTTTTGAATGTCCTTTGGTCCCTGGGAATGTCAGGTTATTACAGAAGTTCAAAAATACAGGCAACCGTGGGCACCACTCCAGGGGAGTAGCTAGGAAGGGTGTCATCCCGAGAGACCCTCCTTTGCAGCGGGTGTGCAGGAATTGCCTGTACCTTTTGGTCACCTTTCCCCTTTACTCTCCGGAGTGACTTGCTGGTCTTAGAGCCCTCTGTAGGCTGACTAACACAGTGTCCCATTGCCCACCAGTTTTGTCCCCAAGGCTTCTGGCTAGGTGCAAGTCCAGCCACATCTGTATTCGGAACATGTGGAGAGGCACTTTGCCTGGCTCCTCCCCCTCTCAACTTGCTCCTATTGCTTTAGCACCTTGTGAACATTTTATATTTTACATGCAGATCCAAAATGGTTAGACTGGTCCACTTCATGCAGGTCCTCATAGTTCGAATGCCACTGATGTCCTGCACTGGTCTCACAGCTCTGGTTTAATGTCTTTCTTAGTCTCCTGTGAATACAGTCCTGCCTAGGCCTGTGAACTGGCCATCAAACACCACTTCCCAATACCCAGTTCTTTTAGTAGCCCCTGCCCTTCTATTGTTTCCTGCCCCTGATATTCACGAGAACCTCAGCTGAGGACAAGCACTAGCCAGTCATACTGGCTTGTATGAGCCAGTTCCCCAGGGATTGATTGTCCTGAGGTAGCCTTAGATTGGGAAGCCTTTTCCTCAAGAAGGGATGGTTGGGTTATATTGCTCAACTTTTCTGCTCCCATGGCATTTAAATGGACCCATCTGCCCACATGTCCCACAGCCTCACAAGGCAGGTGGCAAGAGGCTCCTCCACTGCTTGTTAAAAGTCTTCCCCAGCTCCAACAGGTCCCGGCACTGAATATTCTGATTATCATAATTTCTGGCTCCAGACCACTGTGAAGACCTCTGTCAGCACACTGGAGCATATGCTTTCTCTCTCTCTGGATTAAAGGTAGGTAGGGCCTGAGGAGAGCCTTCTGTTATTTCTAGGTAACTCCCTTCCTCGGCCACCTGACTCATCCCATGGATTTTGGTGTCCTAGGAGGGGTTCTGCAATTTAGGTCCTCTTCCCCCTTTTTTGGCCCCCAGCTGTAAAAGACAGTGGGCAAAGATCTCCATTTTTCCTCCATTTTCATCCAATTTTCCTTCGAAGTCAGAGATCAGTAGCTGGGCCTCCAACCTTAGATCCATTTCTGGCCCCAGTTCCCTCCTTACACCTGTGTTGAACTTATTACACAAAACAGCATCCAGGCTGCCTGTGCAGCTGCTTGCTGATGTGCTTGCCAGATGTACTACTATCAGGGCTCATAATGTCTGCTTTAGATCTTTGGTTGCTCTCAAAGCATCTCCATACACCCAGGGCAGACCTCATCCATCAGTCATGCATACCACTCCATACCTAGAAGACTGTCACCCTAAGATTTCCCCTACAGACAGCCTCTGCCCAGGTATCCTGACCACAGTGACATTTCACACTACTCTCTGCCCTGTTCATGTCCCAACCACTACCCCAGTAGTCCTATAGGGACAAACCACCATGTCAAAATTTCTTCTGCAATTATCCCTCAAATCAACTTCATTTTGCGTGTTTATCTCATTCCCCATACTAGGGACAACACCATTGTTCTTCCCAAACTCAGAATTTCTCAGTTTTATCCTATCCTGTTGTTTATACCAAGCGTTGCTAAAATTCCTTCCCACAGGTAGACTTGGGCAATGCCTACCCCTTCTCTTAAGGTCTCAAAGACAAACCAAGGTAAAATTCTACCAAAGTTCACTCTGGGGGAACTAATGGATTTATTGAGCTTACTTACAGAGCATAGGTAAGGGGTTACTTACTGGAGTGTAAGAACTCTCCCCACCCCTTGGAAGAAGGCCACCAGAGAAGCATGTCTTCCTTTCTCTCAGCCTGCACACCTGCTGGAGCATTCCTTCACATAATCTACAGCAGACACTTGCTAGAGATAATTCAAGGGCCAGGGGGCATCTCAGGAGTCTCAAGAGTTTCATGTTGCAGAATAGAATGCACACTACTTTAAGACATGAATCAGGCAGATGTTTACTCCCCAGTACAAATTTCAGGGCAGGCAAGAATACTGTGATTAAAGTGCATTTCTGAACTCAATACCATGGAAGCAGAAGAAAGGTTAATTCTCCCAGGCACCTGTTTTTTTTTTTTTTGGTTAATCTCATAGGCTCACCGAAGAGATTAACTTGTAATTTGTTTACTAACAAGGAAAATTAGGAACTAAGGGTGCCAGAGCATGAGGTATGAGGGCTTGAGGAAGGCTAGAGATGACACCTAGCATAACATTTGGGAAAGAAGATTCAAGGACATGTGACATCTTTACCCATGTGGTGATGTGAAAGGCACTACCGAGCGATTCATTATTGTGTGTGAATAACCAGTATGCTGAAAGCTATAGGACATTGCAATGCAAATTCTTTGATATGAAAAGAGTTGGCCAATTGTCACAATTAAGCATGGTGTTAAAAAGAATTATAACTATAAATGCATCAGCATGTTCAGAGATTAAGTTGTTGTCAGTCTTGGTTTAGTTAAACCATTTTACATATTGAAGTCAGATGTCTCCTTTTAAATATAGAAACAACAATAGCTTCACAGAGTGGCTCTGAGTGTAAAATGCATGGAGGTGCTCTGGGAAGCTATTGAGTAGAATACAAACACACAATAATGACATTCAATTCACTCACTATAGAGTGCATCTCCATGTCTCTACCCAACCCTTTTCCCCGGGATGCGGAGTAAAAGCAGGCGACTCTATAATGGAAAACCACATCAATTTCTAAAATTTAGATGGCTTGAAAAAAACAAGGGAAATTAAACAAGTAGTAAAAATCCTAGAAACTTAGGTTAAAGAGGGTAGTCTAGGCTGCTGGTTCCTTTGTTTGTTTGTAGTTGTTTTTGAGTTATTATCATTTGTCTGACTTAAAAAAAAGCTTTTAATATGATGCTAGTCATAACTAGAAATGTGCTGTTGGATGTCGTTCTGTATGCTGTGAATATGTATTGCTCTCATTGGTTGATAAATAAAACTCTGGTTGGCCAGTAGCCAAGTAGGAAGTATAGGCAGGCAAGCAGATGAGGAGAATTCTGGGAAGAGGAAGGACAGAGTCAGGAGTTGCCAGTCAGACACAGAGGAAGCAAGATGACAAGGCAGAACTGAGAAAAGGTACCAAGCCACGTGGCTAAACATAGATAAGAATTATGGGTTAAGTGTAAGAGCTAGTCAGTAATAAGCCTGAGCTAATGGCCAAGCAGTTATAATTAATATAAGCTTCGGAGTGATTATTTTATAAGTGGCTGCAGGACCATGGGTGAGAGAGATTTGCTGGACCATGGAGGGCCGGGTGGGTCACTGGAAATTTTCCAACTACAGAAATGCCTAGACTTTATAAGAACAGATGCCATTTTGTATATTTTGCCAGGCTAAAATTTTATTCAATTAAATTATTAGTATTACCATTCATATTGTAAACTTATTTTTCCTATAAATGTGTAAACTTCTACTAAACATGCTAACTATAAGTGATTTCTTGAGATGTACTTTATCATATATATTTAGAAGCAGCTTTATTGTTTATTTACAATGAATTATTTTTGGATTCATTGGACCTATAAGACAAAAATTACAGCAAGTCTTTGATGAATTACTGACCATGAAGTAGAAATTACACATTTATCTTCTAACAGAAGGGACTAATATCATGTAAATTATTTCACAAATATACATAAAATATAAACAATATTTGATGTTCTGATATCACATGGAAATATCACATACAACTGCTACTGATAACTATAATAGGAATAATAAAAGCAAGCTCATAAATATTATAAATATACCAAATGGTTATTCTAAACTTGGAGTGGTCCTAAGCATCTTACATGGACAATTTCATTTAACTTCATACTTCAGATACTTGTTAACTCATATAAAAAGGCTACACAGAGAGATGGAAATATAAATATTCCTTCTTTTTATCAGATACCACAAGAAAATCTTAAGTCAGCTTTTTATTGTGGCTGTTTCTATTATCTGTTCTCTGTGTCTTTAAGGGTTTAATATTTTCTGTACAATGCAAGTTTTGTATTTACACTGTTTTTGTTTTACAATTTAAATTTGTTAAATAAGTGTAGAAATGAAAAAAATACCGCAATTGAGGCTTGTATATTTTCTTAAAGTTTAGCATTCTACTTTCAATGTTTTGGGACTTTTTTTCTGTTGGGCTTTGCCTTCTCTGAGGTCATCTTCTCCTTATTCTTCGTCTTCTTCTTCCGTCTCCTCCCTGATCTCCTCTGTCTCCTCTTCTTCCTCCTCAGGTTTCATTTCCTCCTCTGTCGAAAATACCTTACTCTCTGAGAGTATCTTCTTTTCCTTTAGGATATCTGGGAATCGAAACTGTATTATCAAAACAACGATAACACAGAGCACAAAGCATGCTAGTCTCAGCGAAAAGATGAACATGCACAGAAGATCACACACGAGTGGGCGGGGCACTTCCCAATGTGGGTACCAGAACTGGTAATCTGTAGATAAAGAAGCAGTTGAAGAGAGCTAGAGTTCATATAAAATGCTTAATCTGCTTAAGAAAGAAAGGACAACAATACATACATGTAGCTTGGTCACGATCTGCATCACCTAGAAAGAAAAATAAAAACTATAAAGAAATACATACTTTTTTTTTTCTATCTTTATAAGAATTTTCTCAACAGTACTGCCACCACTCTTCATGCTCTTAGAATCTAGGGCAGTGGTTCTCAACCTGGGATCACATATCAGCTATCCTGCTTATCATATATTTACATTATGATTCACAACAGTAACAAAATTACAGTTATGAAGTAGCAACGAAAATAATTTCATGGCTGGGGGTCACCACAGCATGAGGAAGTGTATTGAAGGGTTGTAGCACTAGGAACATTGAGAACCACTGCTCTATAGTTTTTGATACAATATTCTTTTCAGTAGAAGCCAGCCTGGTTGGCTACAGAAATGCATGGCTAAGGAGATACAGATTCTAGTACTGATGATCTCTCCAAAGGACCATGTCACCTTAGCTAAGCACTTCACTTCTACCCTCTAAAGACCCTTCCCATGTTGACAAGGCAGAGCACCACAGCTCTTCCATCTTTCTCCACTTATATTACTCCAAATTAATATGGATTTACTCATTTTTCATGTAATTCTTAGTTTTCATTTTGGTTCATTTTCATTTCTGAAACAGCAAGGTTAAGCCTACCACCTGGGATTCATTGAAGTTAGGGTGGTTTTTTTTTTTGCAATGAGATAATTACATTTGAAAGGAGACAACTTTCTTTTCATCTGCTCAAGTGAGTGGAGAGGGTCAGATAATCATTTTCCCTCTTACTGACAACAGATTCTTTTCTTACATGATACACCCTGATTAGTTTTCCCTCCCCTTCTTCCTCCTAGTCCCTCCCCACCTGCCCTCCAATATGGATCCACTCCCTTTCCATGCCAGTCATTCTTGACCTCTAGTAAGACGATAGACTAGTGAACATGTGGAAAGTGCAATGCCGATGTGGACTTTGTCTTGCATTGATATTACTTCTACGGTGAAATTTAGAATTTATTTTTCTAGGGTCCTTGGAGATGACCTGCACTCTGTTGCACCTTTGATGTCATTTTGGTATTTTGGTTTTGGTCCCTCATACTTTATGTGGTGACTCTATATCAGAGCATCTTTCCGAAAAGAATCCTCCTCTATATGGTTTGTAGGGTCTCTTCCTGCTGTAGGTGTATTGGACTTAAAGACCCTTTAGTAGAAGCTGTGATGTCACAGAGCCTTCTTTCTCATCACCTTTCTTCACGTGTCACCATTAGTTTTCATTGATTACTTTTCATATTATTATTCTTATTACTATTCATATTTTCTTCATATATATGTATATATATACATATATATACATATATATATATGTATATATATTTGGTTGAGACAAGGTTTCTCTATGTAGCTTTGGTGCCTGACCTGTATCTCGCTCTGTAGCCCAGGCTGGCCTCGAACTCACAGAGATCCACCTGGCTTTGCCTCCCGAGTGCTGGGATTAAAGGCGTGCGCCACCACCACCTGGCCTTCTTTTATATTTGTATTTTTATCAAATATTTAAACAAATTTAAATCTATTTACAGATGGATTGTTTGGATTGTTTATCTGCTTTTGAAGGAATATTTTAGTCTGCGTGTGTGTTTATATGTGATATCTGTGCACACACACATGCAGGTGCCTGTGGAGGTCAGAAGGTGCTGTGTCTCATGGAACTGGAGTTCCTGGTGGCTTTGACTTACCTGCCCACTAAAGCCAATGTCAGCCAGCTTTTAAGTCTTGTTTTTGGCCCCGGGATATAAGGGATATGAAAATACAGATCTATATCATTCATCTCCCATTTTATTAATTACATCATTTTTATGTTTTATTATTTTTATTTTATTTTTCACAATTTCATATATGTACACTATGTGTTAATTATGTCTCTCTCTCTCTTTTTCTCTATTTTCTTTCTGTTTTTTTGAGACAGGATTTTTCTGTGTAATAGCCCTGGCTGTTCTGGAACTCACTTTGTGATCAGGCTGGCCTCAAACTCACTGGGATCCACCTGCTTCTGCCTCCCAAGTGCTGGGACTAAGGGTGTCCCATCACTACACCTGGCTTAATTATGCCATTTTTTTTTTATCTTGCTACAATTTTTCGTTACATTTTGCTTGGCAATAATAATGGTCCAATTTTGTTTAGTCTATAAATTATGATGCAATTCTTACAAATGTATTTCACTTTACTCCCCAAACACGACCCATTTTTTTGTTGAAGGTCATCTTCAGGAGTTTGTTGAGGAAGCACTCACCTGAGCTATGCATCAACAGTTCTTGTATGCTCCCAGAAAAAATTATTTGTCTTTAATTGTAAACAAAGTTTAACTATGTAGAGATTGTTGGTTGACTCTCTACATGTAAAGGCAAACTAGGCATCGTTTCCACTGTTTCTTAGTTCTGAATGTTATAGTATGGGAGGTGAAGGCAAATCCCTCTTTTCCCTGAAGTGAGAATGTCACCTTGCCAATGTGGAATTGCTACAACACTGGTGCAAAGCCAAATCTTTACTATAGAGCTGAGACCAGAAACAAGAATTCTATGAATTCTAGCCTCTGTACAGTTTTAGAATTTACCAGTCATTAGAATATACACAGTATTTGGAAGCTGTAGGAGAGCTAGATAGCCTAATTCTGAAGAGATTGCTGCAAGCCAGAGGGGGACATGAAGGAACACAAGAGTCACAGTGGTTACTCAATAAAAGAGAGAACTGCTGGTTTGGTGACCACTTCTCTGTTATTGCCATCCATACAAAACTGTACTTCCTGTGTTCTACACTTCCCTGCCAGAGTGCTTGTGCTTGCTGAGTCCTTGGGCAAACAGAGTGTTACACAATCTAACAAAGGATTTTGTATTTTGGGTTGCATGCTTAAAGGATTCTTTCTCTTCTGCTGATATCCATGAACTTACCAAGTATATCAACTACACAATGACTTTGTGCCACCCTTTCATGGTACAGTGTTCATTTTCAATGTTTGGAACTAACATTTTTTTTTTTTTTTTTGGTTTTTCGAGACAGGGTTTCTCTGTGTAGCTTTGTGCCTTTCCTGGGACTCACTTGGTAGCCCAGGCTGGCCTCGAACTCACAGCGATCCGCCTGGCTCTGCCTCCCAAGTGCTGGGATTAAAGGCATGCGCCACCACCACCCGGCGGAACTAACATTTTTATTCCTAGAGAGAAGGTGATCTTTCATTGCACATTTATGCAACTGTTCCTACTTATATTTCCTGCTGTTATTTTGCTTCAGTTCTTCAGATCCTACCACTGTTTGAGTTTGACTTAACCAGTGTATATTTCAAATGTTCTCTTTGGCCCTGAACTCTCTTAACTTCATATTTCAGTCATGACCCATACAGTTTTTACTGTTTTCCGGTATCTTGGTTTTTTGTGCTATTTCCAATGTGATTCCCACCATTTTTCCTTGATAGGTAATGCTTGACTATTACAAATCTGTCAAAGCAGTTTTGCTGGTTCAGGACAGACTTCTTACTGTGAACACACCATTTTCTAGGTGGTTTCTTATTCTGGCAATGTAGCAGGAACTGTCAGAAGGTCTTATTAATAAAACAAACCTGGGGTCAGGTATTGGGGTGAATGCTAGAAGATCAGAGAAGCAGCCACAATATTAAACATAGAGGTTAGGCAGTGGTAGCACACACCTTTAATCCTAGCATTCCAGCGGCAGAAATCCCTCTGGATCTCTGAGTTTAAAGCCACACTGGAAACAGCCATGCACTGTTTACCTTTGGATTATTCTGCCACAATTCTGAAGACAGAAATATGCAATTACAATTCAAGGAATCCCAAGCAACCTTTCGAACACAAGGCATGGATAACTTCCCTGCCTCTTCCTAGCAGTGGTTCCTGGCAGTCCTTGGCATTCTTTGGTTTGTTGCTTCACCACTCCATCTTCATGTGGCCTTTCCTCTGGGTTCTTTCTTTTTCTAAGAAGGATGCCTCTCGGGGATCCAGAGACCACTCTTGTCAAGGACCACCCCCATCTTACCAATAATTAGTAGTGATTACTGTTAATTACTGGATTACCTTTCCTCAGAAGGTAATCTTTACGTTCTGGGTCAATTTAAAACTAGAAAGGATTATTCTTTCGACGGCAGATGACCTCTCGTTCTTCTCATTGGTGGGAAAATGTTCATGAGTGGTTGAGTCCAGGCTATGGATTTTGACCCTATGTGTCAGAAAAGGACTTCAGAGTGTGTCTCTCAGGTCTGCTACCTGAAGCCTTGAAACAAAAAATTTCACGTTGAGAATGTGTTCCTTTGGCTTTGAATCTGCAACTGCAGACACAGTCTTGAAATCTGACTACTTATAGATCTATGTAGGAGAGTGACAGAAATGACTCATAATTCTAATGAAGATGAAACATACTTCTTCTTTCTTCGGGTTCTCAGTGGTTTTTAAAGAGAAAGGGGAACAGTCAAACTTAAGCACTATTTAGGAACCAAATTTCCAGGTCTGGCTCTAAAGAAGATGATAGAAACATTTTTTAACTTTTCTTGCCCACTGGAGAATAAAACTATACACCTAGCATAGAATTCATGGCACAGCATTAGGATAACTTTGATGAGCAACTATCTAAAGGCAGATTGAGAGAGAATGTCAGGACTTAGAATGCCAACGAATTGGTGTGTTTACTGGGTTTCCCATCTCTCATACTTTCCCACTGAAATTCAATACTTCCTCCAACTCTGTGGACCCTCTGGTATGGGCAGAACTAGGCGAGTACTCTGGCTTTGGCTGAAGGAGCAGGAAACAGAATCTTACTATTCAATGAATGAAGAGGAATCACTAAGTTAGTTTTACCATCCTCTTCTTCATTCATTCAAGGGCCAGCTCCCAAACAGTCTGGGAGCAGTGGTAGGGGCAATGGAGATAGCCAGCAAAAAGAAACCCAAGCCAATCCTCTGAGGGGGAGACTTGTCTTCACCATTTCATTGACATGTAGCTTCAAGACTTCAGGCCAGACTCCTTTGCACATCTGTTTGCTTGTTGCTTTGGCCCTGAACATGATTCAACATTAAAAGTGGGTTCGGGCTGGAGAGATGGCTCAGAGGTTAAGAGCACTGACTGCTCTTCCAGAGGTCCTGAGTTCAATTCCCAGCAACCACATGGTGGCTCACAACCATCTGTAATGAGATCTGGTGCCCTCTTCTGGCCTGCAGAGATACGTGCAGACAGAATACTGTATACATAATAAATAAATAAATCTTTTAAAAAAAAATGGGCTGGAGAGATGGCTCAGAGGTTAAGAGCACTGTCTGTTCTTCCAGAGGTCCTGAGTTCAATTCCCAGCAACCACATGGTGGCTCACAACCATCTGTAATGAGATCTGGTGCCCTCTTCTGGCGTGCAGGCATGCATGCAGATAGAACACTGTATACATAAATAAATAAATCTTCAAAAAAAAAAAAAAAATGATGCCGGGCGGTGGTGGCGCACGCCTTTAATCCCAGCACTCGGGAGGCAGAGCCAGGCGGATCTCTGTGAGTTCGAGGCCAGCCTGGGCTACCAAGTGAGTTCCAGGAAAGGCGCAAAGCTACACAGAGAAACCCTGTCTCGAAAAACCAAAAAAAAAAAAAAAAAAAAAAAAAAAAAAAAAAAAAAAAAAAGTGGGTTCCATCACTGGAAGATCCCAGATAAACTGCAAAGGGTTATATGCTTGGAAGAAAAGAGGAAAAGCGTTTATAAACTGGATGATGGATGTGGAGGCATATGCTAGTCCTTGGAAGGTGGAAGCCCAGGCTACCTCGAGAGACTATGTAAAACAAACAAAACCAAAACCAAAAGGCAATAATAAAAACCCACCTTAAATGTTGATGAACTTTTGGATCACCTAGGCTGGATACAGATCTGATACTAAATAGAATGCTAAAGACTTTGAGAGCTGAGCTAATGTATAAAGAGTTTTCCCTGTGTCTCTAAGTGACGGGGTTTGGACTGGTGGTAGCATTCAAAAAAAGAAACTGAGCCTCAGAATGACAGACCACAGAAGAAAGCAGTTTGGAAATTCAGACCCGAACCTAGCCACAGACTAAGAAATCCCCAATACCAGGCATAGGGAATTCCCTTATGAGTTCTTGGTCTGGGGTGACCAAGAGACTTCCAAAACATTGTAGACTATTGCTATTGCCCTTGGTTGCATCCCAGAGGTTGAAGACAGCTATTGCTAAAGACACTATGTATTTCAGACACAAGACGCAGAGGACCCAAGCTGTATCTGGCATGAAAGCCTCCTCCTTGAGGAACAGCTTTTATGGTACCAGAAGGCATCGGCAACCTTCCAAGGGAGGGAAGCTGTTGGAGCCCACTGAGGATTCCTAGTGGCTTTACCCAGCGGGACTGCATAAGACGATGACTGGGCCACAGGCCTGGGTACCAGGTGTTTGGTAGGGTCTACACTTGGTTATATATTGTCTCGCCCCTTGGCATTGTTATAAAAGTCCTTTCGAATAAAGTTCTGGGCTGGTGGGTTTTGACCCAGGCCCTCCTGAGGCTATCCTCTATTTCTGTCTTTCCTCTCATCATCTCGGCATCTCTATCTAAATATTTCCCACTTCTCCTTGCTCAAGAGTCCCCTGGTCGTAAAAGTGGGGCCTGGTCCCCCACAGGAAGCCACCAATAGTTCTACCCAGTTATGATGCCTATGGCCTACAACAATGATCAGCATGGCAGAATAATCCTAAGGACTAAGAGTGGTACTCATACCTTGGCAGTAACCAAACCAAGAAACTACAACTACACTTTACTAAATTAACATAATTCCTAAATGTGTTCTAAACATATATCCTTACACCAGAGGTAAGTATAGCTCTCACCCCTCAACTAAGAAAGTTCTTTTTGTTGCAAAGGACAGAGACCTTCACAGAAAACTGTAATTGACCAAAATGCAGAGACTAAATGCTTGTGTAGTGCCCAGCCCCAGCTGATCCATCTATAATATAACTCCTGCGCCTAGGCTCAGAGAATATAGCAGAAGGAGTAGAAAGATTGTAAGAGCCAGAACAACACAATATCTCCTGTGAGATTTCATCTAGAAATGCCAGGGAAGCTTCACCTCTGAAGTCTCAACAAGGCCGAGGCAATAAGACATGAACAAAGATGACATAACATGGGAGGACTCAATAGAAACTAGAGATGTCAGAAGGGTTTCTGAGTTTGGAGGGTGACTAACAGACTGACCTAAGATCTCTAAATAGAAAAAAACAAACGTGTAATAAAAAGTCACGGGAGCTTCAAGGAACCAACTGGAAACAACAAAAGTTCTCCTATATAGGTCATAGAAAATGCCAGAAGGAGAAGTAGTTAAGTGATAGAAAAAATAATGGAAAGGATTAGGGCTTGAGACTTAGAAAAGTTTGAAAAAGATGTAAATGATAAGTTTAGGAAGCCGACTGTATGGTCCGTAGAATAACCCAAAAGCAATCCACATCCAGAACATTGTAATCAAATTGTTGGAACTTGAGACAAAATCTACCTTCAAATAGAGTCAGAGGAAAATGACATTCCTATAAAGAAACTTAAATAACCAACTGGATTTCTCATCAGAAACCATAGAAGCCAGAATGAAGAGTCATGGTATTTTTGAAGAGGTAAAATGAACAGAATGCTCAAGAATTCTGTGTTGTCCAGCAATTGAATAAAAAAGAAATGTCTTTAGGAATGAAAAAGGAGAAATCTGGACATAAACAACTGGAGGAACTCTAAGAGAATTGGTTGCTAGCAGGCCTGTTGTGAAAGAATTACTGAAGTGAATTCCTCACATAAGAAGTAAACGATGTCAGGAGAAAGACAAGATTAGGAATGAGGAGCCAAGGAGAGGCCAATATGAGAGATGAGCTGTGTAAATATAGTAAATGATACATGTGGGCCATCAGCTCTTCAATTCTTTTAAGTATAGTTGAGAGTTGAAAGTAAAAGCATGCCAATGATGCCATTTCCAAGGTATGTACAGAATAATGTACGTCAACTGTGAGATATATGAGGAGGGCAAGGGGATCTCTATATTCTATTTAGATTGATTCTAAATAGAACGAAATGTTAACACCAGGTGATGGTGGCTCATGCCTTTAATCCAGCACTTGGGGGGCAGAGGTAGGTGGATCTCTGTGAGTTTGAGGCCAGCATGGTCTACAAAGTGAGTTCCAGGACAGTCAGAGCTACACAGTGAAACCCTATCTCGAAAAACAAAACAAAACAAAACAAAACGCCGAACCAACCAAACAAACAAAAAGAAATATTAACTAAGTATGTAGTTATTACAGAAAGAGCTACTGAAATTCTTATACAGGGAAGTATCAGTCATTGTAGATGAGTTGAATAGAGTGTAAAAAGGTAAAAAAAAAATCAAGAGAAACATATAAAAGGACGTAGAAAGAATCAGTGAGGAATAAGCAGAAAACAAAACAGGAGGCTTAGTGTGAACACACGAGTCACCTGATTTCTTATTGGTGGTCTGAACGCACCATATGTTAGCAGACATCTTGCCTATTGCTCCAGGAGAACCAGAAGGCAGCAATGTTAATGCACATTCAACACCAAGTGTTGTTGCATGGAAACTGCCCACTACTGTTGTAGTTAGGTATGTAGATATATATGACATTCTTCTAAGTGTTGTATACTCCAGCTTTAGTTCTATCACTGGATTGTAAGTTCTTATGTTTGGAAGAAGTAATAGAAAAATTAATCAGACATACATTCTAGATTTTTTTTTCCCCTCTGAATACTTTAGGAACTTTTCCCCCCAGGGAGGGAGAGCAATAAAAAAGATTTCTTAAATATGTTACTGTACTATTTTTTCCTTTTTATGAATATTTTTGGAATACTCTATTCTTTAAAGCAGATATTGTCAAAGTGGCCACTCTTTAAGGAGTTAGTTGTGAAGTTCTTTCAGAGAGTAAACCGTTACTTCTTTCCTTAATGCTGAGATTTTTTTATATTTTCCTAGGGGGAGCAATAGGGAGCAAGGAGAGCAGAGAGGGCTCTGCAGTTTGTGATGAAGTGACAGGTAAGACTGTTTTGATAGTACAGTGACAGCATCTGAGCCGGGGTCAATGTGAGCAGCACGATAAAGTGAGTGCCAAGCACCTTGCTTTCTCACTGTCTTATGTCTTACGGATTTATTTGATCTTACTGCATAGAAAGTCTGTGCATTTGTCTCGAGGGGGACACCGACTACAATACGGCCCTGCTTCATAAGGCCTCCTTGCCAGAATTATTCTAGAAAAAAGCAGAAAGGAAGACAAGACTTAGTTTTCATGCTACGTAATGTTAATTCAATTTCTGTTCATTATATTATTAGTTTACATTAATGAAATGGTGTGGTTCCCACATTTAACTATTTTAAGAAGATCTAGTTAAGAAAACAGACTCACCTCTGAGTGGATATACGGAAAAGGTAATTGCACATAAGGTTCATTGCAGCTCTTTTCACACTGCTAAATTATGAGACCAACCGAGGTGTTCAGTGACAGCCGCCTAACTGGACTGAAGCCCAGGAAGGAATTTGTGCTTGGAACTGTTTACTGGGCCATCTACCTACAGCTGGTGAGTCCATGGAACCTGGAGACTGCCTGTTACTGCCACGTGCCTAAACCAGCGTAACTTCGAACCGCGGTCGAAAGACTCAGCCTTATACCCACAGATAAATGTAGTTTTCACTCTCATCAAAGAAGCTTCTCCAGGCAGCAGACCAGACTATGATGGCTGTCCTTGGTGGTCAACTTGACTCCATCTGGAGTGAAGTTCAATCCAGAAATGGAGGGCACACCTGTGAGAGATTTTTTTTTTTTTTTTGGCTTGGTTTAAAGTGGGTGAATCCACTTCTAGTTCCGACCTTTGAGGTGGGAAGACACACCTTTGATCTGGATCCTGGGGTGGGAGACACACCTTTAATCTGGGCCACACCTTCTGCTGGACATGGGAAAAAAAAGGCTTTTGCCTTTTGCGTGCTTGCCTTCCCCTTGCTAGCACATTCATTCCTTCATTGGAGAGCCTGCTTCTCTGGGATTCTAGCATATACTGAAGACCAGCTGAAAGATCCAGCCTTGTACACTGAGCAACTACTGGATTCTTGGACTTCCATTCACAGCCAGTCATTGTTGGATTAGCTAGAATGCAGCCTATAAGTCGTTCCATAACCCCCCCTCTCTCTATATATATAGGTGTGTGTGTGTGTGTGTGTGTGTGTGTGTGTGTGTGTGTGTGTGTGTGTATTCATTATGTAAGTTCTGTTGCTCTAGATAACCCTAATACAAAGACCATTACAGAAAGCCACAACTGGTCTAAATGCAGAAATCAATTGACTGTGGGGTACCTGGCCCCAGTTAATACCTTTACGACACAACTTCTAACTAAAGGCTCAGGTAACTTTGCATAAAAGGAACAAAAAATTGTAAGAGCCAGTGGACCAGGACATCTGCTACAAGATAGTCTCTTCTAAAAACAAACAAAATAGGACATGAAGTGGGTGGTAGGAAGGAGAGGGGGGGTCCTCAATGGGAGTAAGTGTGATCAAGATACACTGTATGAAATTCCCAATAGGTTACTAAACTAATATTTGAAAAATAATATGACAGATTGCTTAAAACAAACCACAGGATCCTCTACATCTGTATATGCAAGTCTTGGGACACTGAATACTATGAATTTTATTCATAATTTTCTCATATGGAACAAGGTGAGCTTTATCTAATCACTAGCATGTTTTTAAAGCAGAGTTTTCTTTGGTTGATTACAGCAAAAAAAATCAAACATTTGAAGTGTGAGATTCAGATTTTGCTTACCCGATGTGTGTGTGTGTGTGTGTGTGTGTGTGTGTGTGTGTGTGTGTGTGTGTGTGTGTGTGTTGAGGGGTGTATCAAGGAATACAGAGCTTTTAGCAAATGAGAGAAAAGCTTGGCTGACATTCAGGAAGCAGTTGGGAACCCAAGTCCCAGAGCCTCACGGGACTGAATTCTTGATAACATTTTGAATGAGTTTGGAAGCAGGTTCTCCCCCATTGATAATGTAGTGGACACACTGAGTTTGGTCTTTGCGGCCCTAAGCAGTAAACCCAGTCACATGAGAATGAACATATGACCTCTGAGTCTTGATATAAGTGGATGCTGTTCATAAGCACGGTGTTTGTGGTATTTAATGTGCAGCAGTAGAAGGCCTGTCCATATGCTAAGTCCCTACTCCAGATATCACTGTCTGCGTCTGTGCTAAGGGGATACCCCGATTGGATATGCTCTCTCTATAGTCCACGCTCCAGAGCACCCAGATTAATCTTCTTTTTTCAAAAGAGCCATTCTTTATAAAGCACACATGAGATCATGGTAGTCAATTGCTTATGACCTTCCGATGACTTTGCCACTCTCTAGAATCAATTCTGGAATCTTTAACATGGCACTGTTTTTCTCTTTGGTCTACTTACCACATACTCTTCACTCCAACTTCTAACCATGGTTACCCACTTCTCAGATGTGCTAAATTCACACAACTGCAGAGAATTTTAAAAATTAAATTTTGTTTATTTATTCATTTGTGTGTGTGTGTGTGTGTGTGTATGTGTACGTACACACGCACACACACATGGGGGTGCCATGGTGTATCTGTGGAGGTCAGAAGATAGCTTTTGGGAGTTGGTTGTCTCTACCACGTAGGTTCTGGGATTGAACTTACATAGTCAGGCTTGGTAGCACCTTTACCTGCTGAGTGAGTTTAAACTTTCCCACTTTTACAACTGAATTTAGGTTTCAGTCCTTTGAAAGGGGCAAAACAGGTTTCTCTCCCAACAAAGGGCCCTTAGTCAACAACACCCTTACATTCAGGGAGGAGGGAGAGAACAAACACAAGGTCTGAGTCAGCGCCACAGTGTTTCAAGGACAAATCCTGCAACCCCCTTCTGAGTCATGTCCTGACTTGACCAAACTTACTCAAGTATGCCCAAAAATGGTAAAACTGAACCTCAGCCAATTAAAAGTATACCAGTGTAACTGCTGCTTGCTTGACCATTTGAGATGACCTAAATGTCCCTGAAATTCCCCTAGCTGTGCTTCAAAGGAGCCTGCTTGCTCCTCTCAGGGTCATTGCCATTTTGTACAGGTGTTCCATCCTACATGCTGGTAAATAAACGCTCTTGGTTCTTGCACACTATTTGAATCTGGAGTCTTCCTTCAGCGTTTTCTCAGACCCTTACAGAGCCATCTCAATGGCCCCTGTAATTTTTTAATGAAACTCTTACACATGGAATATTCTTTATCTATCTTCTTCTTTGGCTTTCAGCTCAAATGCTATGATCTGGGACTAACTTAGTTTTCTTCCATACCAATCATATTCATATTCTTTCCCCCTAGACCTCCACCGCATGGGTGTTTTGCCTACATGATGTCTGTGCTCCATTTGTATGTCTGGTACTCACAAAGGCCAGAAAAAGGCATTGGATTTCCTAGAACTGGAGCTACAGAGCTGTGAGCCACCATCTGAGTGCTGGGCATTGAACTTGGGTCCTACGGAAGAGCAGCCAGTGCTCTGAGCCACTGAGCCATCTCTCCAATTCCCATCCCAATCATTATTTGTTTCCTCTGCTTTATTTTTATGGCATACTTTGTTGCCTAGTTAAAATATAATTTGTGTGCTTACTTATTAAGAGGTTTATCTCGTTGCTGAGACTATAAATACGGATGGCTTTTCACTGGGAAGGAGCTTCCTAAGTTTAATTCATCATACAACACAATTCCATTATTTTCTCTATCTAGGAGAAAACAATCTGTAACCAATGAGATCTGACTTCCTTTCTGTTTTCCTTCCCTTCTTTTTTTCTCTCCCCACTCCCTGGTTTAATCTCACAGAGTATTTTTTGATCCTGAGAGGTAGTCAAGTCTTTTTTTCCACTTAAGACGTTGATTAGAATATTCCCCTGCCTATTTGGAAGTTACAGTCCTGTTACTAATAGCATTATATGACTCAGAGCTTCCAAACAAGAGTTTTTCTGAGATGAAGGTGATTGGGGAGTAGTTACTTGCCCTAAATGGCAGGTGTTCAAGTATAAAGAAAATAGTCATATGAGGAGTAAGTAGAAAGAATTCAAGCTTCCAGTGGATAGTCTGACTCAAAGACTTTTGAAGAAGCTCTTCTGTCTCTGATATTAATGAATCCTTGTATGATACACATTAGCCCAAACAACCATCTTGGGTTAGCGAAGTGTACCTCATGTTACAAAACTGCAATCTTTCTAACACAATTCTTATTACACAAATTTCAACCTAGCTGAGTTTTACAACTTTATTAGTGCTATGAGAATACACCATTCTGGAAAAATAACTGAAACCCTACTGCAGCTCCTCTAGTTATTATAACTAGTTACTGCTAAGCTTCTTTCCTACAGGTGGTAACCATTAAAGAGTTTGTAAGTAAAGCCAACTTGACCAAGGTATGACTTATTTCTTATGAAATTTAAAACATTTTGTCATGAAGTCTTCTATTAATATATCTAAAACTTTAATGGCCAATAAAGACTTCAAACACATATTACAAGTTAGGAAAACTTAAAGTTGAAGTAGTTTCATTTTATTCTTTTTTTTATTGCTTTAAAATCACTCACCCTGGTGCATAATTGCATATGAAAAGTGCAGCGTGTAGGATACCGCCAACTCTTTTACATGGAGTAACAGCACAACCAACTTTGAAGGAATTGTCCCAAACAAGCTGAAATAAGCATGTCAAAGAAAATGTAAATTTTATTTAGAAGTACTTATGCTATATACACTATATTCCATTCACACAGAATCTTTAACTAAGAAATTCAAGGACTATCAAAAATTGGTTTTAGACCCAGGCAAGAAACTGTTATGGATTTAGGGAGCATTTCCCAAATGTATTTACATCAACATTGTCATAGTTTCATATTATGGGAACAGCCGAAAAACACTGATGCCAGGCAGTGCTCTAAGCCAGTGAAACTCACATCTGACAAAGTGATTTCCCAGTACTAGGTTAAATTGGACAGTCTTAGGTCTTTGGCAATGAGGAAGAAAGATCAGAGAGAGAGAAGAGGAGAAGTGTTGTAGAAGTGGAAGTTTCTAGCAGAAGGGAGAAAAGAGGACTATTAGGGCTCTAAACAGGAAGGAAACAAGATGCAAGTCTAGCAGTGACAAGGCATCTATCTACCTTTCCTCCTGTAGAGGAAGTTGGATCACAAAATGAAACAAAGTATGGGCTTTTCATTCGGAAAGACCCAGAGGAGATCTGCTCCCTCTAACAAAAGGACAGACCCTGAATTATGGGGGGTGGGGTGGGGTGGGGGTAGGATGGAGTAATGAGAGACATTGCAGAAATACGCTGTGTGATCTCAGTATTAGTAAAATTTCAAGTAAGGAAAAAGCTCTTCTTTTGGCTCATAACGTGTGGGGAAGGGGAGCTATTTCTGTCTCCTCAATATTTAACAAACTTTTGTTGTTTTCAAATTTTAATTCTTAAAGACATATAGTGATATATTAAAGAATAGAGACAAAAATCTAAGGGTAGACCACTTTTCAAATAACATATGTGAGGCCCTGGGATTTATTTCCACTACTGCAAAAATAACAAAATAATATAATAAAATATAAGAGTTGAAGCAAAGGCTGCCTGGACAGTCACCCAAGGTTCCTCTGCAACACTGGGGTATCCATCTTTGGCCTACAGTCCTATCATATCTGACACACTTTTCTGTGAAGAAGGATATTCTGAAGGGCCTTCCTACCTTGTCTTGGCAAGGTTTGGCAGTCTTTTCTTTTGTGTCCTGCTTGTCCATTTGGAAAGCATACTGTCAGCAGTCAAGGCAAGGGCACTTTCTTGTCCAGTGGCTAACTTTTGCCACAAAGAAAGTAAACTCCATAATGGAGTTTCTTCAATGCCCATCATCTTCTCTGAAGTAGATTGGTGCTGCCAGGAGCAGACATGTCTCATTGTCATTAAAAAATCCCCTATGTTATTAAAACATCTTAAATGCTATAATCTGTAGATCTCTGAAGTGTTTGAAAATGACTTGTCTATCTAAAATATATCTCTGTTTGACCTTGAAAAAGAAAAGTTGAAGCAAAATCTAGCAGGTCCAATATAAAGAACAAGAATGCCTTGGTGGCTTGAATTACAGAAAAGAAAACAGTAAAGTAACAGGAGGGTGATTAAAGTTACATAAAGGAGTCTAGCTTTGCTATCCATAAGAAGGAGGAACTGATAAAAAAAGAACAGATCAAAAATTCTTTGAAGAATTCACTTACTAGAAAATAAAGAGTAGAGTTCAAAACCATGAAGAAATCTCAAAATTATGTTTTGCATGAAATATGATATAAACTGAGAAGATCATGTCATGTTTCAAATAAATTCATGTTCATTCAAAATCTCTTTTGATTTCTGACATAAACACTTATTGAAGAAACGAAGCAGGGTCAAGTTGTTTTGAGAATATGTGGGTAAAAAGACAAAGTCTCTGTTCTCAGCCCAGTATGAGCTATTTCAGTTCCTGTGTAAAATAATAAAGGTGAGTACAGAAAATTAAAGGTGGCTAAGAATTCCTGGAAGGTAATGGGGCACCTGGAGTGCTGGGCATGGGTGGTGGAAATATATTAGAAGTTGGCCAATTAGCTACATAGTCTACATACTCTGTGGGAACACCTTTTATGTTTGTGCACGGTCAGTAATTTGTAAGTCATTTTCTTTAAGAGTTTTCCTTCCATTTCTACCAGGTGCTAGTTTCAGAACAACCCCCTTGATCTTGAGGTACGCAGACAATGCCTATTTCTTGTATGAGTCACGTAATAGATGGAATGGTGGACGTTTAAAGGCATAGAGAGGATTAAAATTTTTATTTTATTAAGGGAGTAATTTTGTCATGTGAGCTTATAAATTTAAAACAGAAAACTAGGTAAAGCAATTTTAAAAATCTACTAATTTAATAACAATACACAAATCAGATACCTGAATATAATGAGAGCAGTCATCATCAACGCAGGTGTTGTTGTGAAAATTATAGCTTTTCCTTTCCTCATGCCAACTTTTGATAGCGATACTTGCAGTAAATTCCTCTTCAGGACCAACCCACATGTTTTCGCCAACAACAGTAAATACAGGATGGGCCTCATGCTCTTTGTCTAAATGTGTATTACGTTGATACACACATTTTTTCCCCCATGCTCTAGCAGTACGTGATAAAGCTACATCCCAAGTCTGAAAATAAACACACACACACACACACACACACACACACACACAAGAGAAAACAAAATAATTAAAAATAATGTTGTTTTAATGCTCTAATTTATTTTCTTGGTGTTTACTCTCTTAGACCAACTCTTTATTATTTACATGTTTTTTGCTTTTTGTTTTCTGAGCAATATTTGTAGGAAACACTTCCTTTCAGGTCATCAAAATTAAATGACTACTTCCCAAGGCAAAGCCCAATATATGTCTGTAACTGAAATAATCAAGGGAAAGATTAAACTAATCATTCTAATACTATTGCATATAGCCTTTTCAGGATTACATAATAAGTTTACATAGTTTGATCAGAATACACATTTTTTTTTTTTTTTTTTTTTTTGGTTTTTCGAGACAGGGTTTCTCTGTGTGGCTTTGCGTCTTTCCTGGAACTCACTTGGTAGCCCAGGCTGGCCTCGAACTCACAGAGATCCGCCTGGCTCTGCCTCCCGAGTGCTGGGATTAAAGGCGTGCGCCACCACCGCCCGGCAGAATACACATTTTTAATGTTCTGTATTTTGTGTCCAGTAAATTAAAATATCCATCTAATAACTATTTAGTGAGCATTCATTATATATAGAATATTATTTTCAGATATAAAATGAGAAGTCAATTATATTTGGTCCTCAAGTTGCTGTATTCCCAGCCCTGAGGAGGCAGAGACAAGAGGATTGCTAGGACTTCCTGGCTACCATTTCAGCTGAAAACAAAACATGACACTAGATTTAGGGAGAAACTGGTTCTAAAGAAGTAAGGTGGAGAGAAGGACACCTTACATCCTCCTCTGGCCTCTGGGCATACACTTCTGGGCTCACACACAAACATCATACATACATACATACATACATACATACATACGCGTGCGCGCGCGTGTGCACACACACACACACACACACACATACATTCACACACATACACAAGCATCACATACTCAACAAGCACACACACACTCACACACACACACACATACTCACGCATACTCTAGTTTGTGTCAAGCCCCTTTCATGTTTAAATTTACTCATAAAATATCTCATCAATAAATACATCCAACTGCCGACTACTTATATTATAGCACCACATGAGATTCCTTTCCCACAAGCTTTCTGACAACTTTCTATATCCATTGAGTTCTTATCTTAAAATTTCCTTTCTCCCCTGTAGCAACTGGTCATTTTACTTTGGAACAAAACTATGATTTCTCTTCTGAGCATAACACAGTGAGTCTATGGGCTGAGGTTTATTTTCTCAGCACCAGATTACTGTTCACTCACAGGCCATTGTTTCTCTAGTATTTCTTTACAGACAGCTCAAGGTGACAACCATAAACGGATTCTCTAAAACTTAACCTGCCCTAGTTGTAAGGTAAAATGTTACTAAAAAAGGTTTTGGAAAATACTTTTTAGAAAGATATATTAAACATTTAAAAAATTAAGCATCCCGTCAATTTATTTTCCTATTAGTCACTCACTGGCTGCCAGCATAGCAGAATAAACTTGGAGCTTGGTGAGAGATGCTGTCTCAAAAGAATAAGACTGAAAGCACTGGAGGAAGACACTGGATGACCTCCTCCGGCCTCTATATACTCTCAAATAAATATGCACACATGTACACCTGCACACATATGTACAAACAAGCATATACCACACACATAAAGGCTTAACAGAGGGAGAAATGAAGGTTATCTTGGATATAGAAATCTGGAACTTATTATTCATAGCCTGACTGAGAGAACTATTGAAGGATGTATTCTGCACTGAAATTTAGAAATGACGAGTCAAATAAGAGGTCATAAAATTAGCATGCACAATTACATACATTCACATACATTAATGAACAATCTGAACAGAAAAATTGGGCACATCATTCCACCATGACAGCACTGAAAAATAATAATAATAACCCTAACCAAACTGGACTTTTTTTTAAACCATAGAATGTTGCTAAAGAAAATAAAAGAAGACACTAATGAAAAGACTGGTATCTGTGGCCAGGGACTGGGAGACTTAATACTGAGATGCCCTCACTACACAAAATGTTCTGTAAAGTAGTGTGGCCCCCACCAAGAGCAATTCTGAGAGACTCTTAAGGGGTACAAAATAGGATTAAAAAAAAAAAAGTCTTGAAAGAAAACAAACTCAGAAGAGGCCTTGGCAGACTGTGGGGTGAGATAAAGAGCTCCGAAATAAATTCCTGCACACACACGTAGGAAGGCAAATAGTTTCTGCATAGGCTGCCAAGACCATTTAATGGACAAAAAACAATACTCTGCACCAAGCCTTGGGAAAAATGGATATCCACACAAAAAAGAATATGATTAGGCCTTTATCTTATATCGTATCAAAGAATTAATCAAAAATAGATCAAAGACCTAAAGGTAAGACCTGAAATTGCTTTGTTTTGTTTTTTAAGAAAATGTAGATGAAAACTTAATAAACTAGATTTGGTGATTCTTTTTCTAAGACAGTACCAAAAGGACATGCATAAAGGAAAAGGAGTAGCTCTCATCGAAGTTTTAAGACTTCTTACAAACGTTTATTCTTATTTTTACATGTATGTTTCTCCTGCATGCACACAGATGCACCACCTGCATGCCTGATGCCCAAAGAAGTCACAAGAGGGTCTTAGAGCCCCCTTGGAACTTGAGTTACAGTAGTCTATAAGGGCTGGGAATCAAACCCAGGTCTTCTCCAAGAGCAGCAAGTGCTGTTAACTACTGAGCTATCTCTCCAGCCTCAGGTTTAAGAGATTTACTATAAATAGATAGGCAACCTGTCTGGAGCATAGGAATGTTAAGCACACATGATTGTCTTTCCAGTGGGAAAGATGAAAAACCTGTTCTTCCATCCAGAAAACTGAGAATTGGAAAGGATTAACTGCCTGGTGATCTGCGTTATCTGTTGGGCCAGGCCACATCAAGCTTACAGTTAAGACCAAAGATGGCTAGTAATCTAAATGACCTTTATAGCCAGAGGCTCTCCCAAGCTCCCACAACCAGGACTGAGGTGGCTAATAACCCAAATGACCTCTATGCTATCTATATGACTGAGACCAGGCTAGACCCTGAACCTATCTTCTTGGAAGAAAGGATATGTATCCTGGGTTGAGTTTCATGTAATTATGTTTCCTTGTGCAATGGGGATTGTTTTACACCAGGAAACTTGTTCCAAACTGCACTGGGCTTAAATTTAATACATTGGGAATCAACCGCCTGTTATTAGACTCCCTAAAGTCTGATTCAAGTCAGTCTGCATTGGATTTTCATTCTTACCTCTGTGTGGTTCGCTTCCCTGTATGACACCTGCAGGGACCCCCCTCAGCAACCCACATAAGGAGAGAGCATCTGTAGATTCTCCTGTCCCACACCTGCCTCCCTGCTCCTCTCCCTGCTCTGTCATCTCCACACAGCTCTGGCCTACCCTCTCATCTCCCTCGTCCTGCACACTTTTCTTTCTGGGTGTTTTTCAGAGACAGGGTTTCTCAGTGTAGCTTTGCTCCTTTCCTGGAACTCACTTGGCCTCAAATTCACCCCGCCTGGCTCTGCCTCCCAAGTGCTGGGATTAAAGGCGTGCGCCACCACCGCCCGGCTAAAATACAATTTTTAAATTGGTGTCCCTTAAAATTTGCACCTCCGGGGAGTACCCCCACTTCTTCCACACTTGGTCCTATGTAAAACCATGGAACTGATCATCATGTATCAGAGCGACAGTGGTTAGATATGTATTGTTAAGCTCAAATACGTGTGCTTCTCTGCGTTTCCCCCCACTTTCGAGCAGTGGCCTGGGTGGTGGGAGGTTTGGGATCCAGCCTTCCGGGCCTCACCATGAAGCGCAGGTTAGACCCTCCGGGGAAGACGCTGCCTCGGATCTCATTATGGAGAGTGATGTACTCGTTGATGAAGTCCACATTCTCTTCATGAGGCAGAACGCCGGCGTTCAACCCAGAGCCCATCAGCAGGATCCACAGCTCACACAGCCACAGCGGCAGTACAGCCCCTAGTGTCAAGGGATGCGGTGACAGAGCACCCCCCACCGCACACAGAGGCCGAGCAGCCTTCATGGTCACCCACCACCGAGGAGGAGCCAGTGCACATGCGCCAGCCCGCCCCGAGACCTGCCAATCTACGGGTCGGCAGAGGGCTCATAAGTGGGAAGAGAAGGAGGCGGAGCGAGAAGTGGGCTGGGAGAGCACAATTCGTGATAACTGTCTGCAGCTGATGGACCAAAGTCAGACCTGAGTTAAACAAGTACGTTTTTCACAAGACTAACTGAGCAGTATCTAGAGTTGTTTTCTGACACTGAAGAGTGTGCCTTCATTTACTAATCAAACATTAATTTGTACCCCAAGTGTTGAATGATTCCCAACTCTGAGATACCTTGTAATTGTGCAAGGGGAAACAGTCATTCGTCCCGTGTTAGTGACGGGCATCCGGCTCACTTTAAAAAATTTTTTTTGTCTTATCTATTGAGTTGTGAGTGTTTTTTTGTTGTCTCTGTTAGGGACAGAAGATTCTCTTTAAGTCTTATCCAAAAATACCTGAAAGGAATTGTCAAAAATTATCTTTGATTCACAAGATGAAAAGCAGTAAACTGACACAAGATGATTTCAGTCGTGCCCTTATTCATTCAGTGTATCTAGTGAGGCAGCATATTAAATGGTTGAAAAGGACCAGCAGACAAGACACAGCCCTTCTTCTCAAATGTGAATAAGACAATTTTATATTTGGATGATATTTTGACACTTGCATGGACCCCCTATCAGGCATGGTCTCTAATGTAATAAGGACTGGTGATGGTCACACCCTCTGACCAATTTTATAGGAAAGCCCCCATCTCCTGGGCAGCTCATGCCATTACTGGGCATCTCCCTTATCCTGACAAATGTTTCTTTAATACTTCCCATCAGTTAAAGCCCACGAGACTATAAAAGCTGAGCAAAGTAGAACTAAGTTCATCCAGTGCTACAAATAATTTATTAAACAGTGAATTACAATGCAGTTGTGAATATTGCTTTAAATTCATCTCACCAAATTTGTCTATCACTATTTTAAATAGTTGTAAGATATGAACTTAGTCAGATAATATCTTTATTAAATACTGATCATTTGTATCTCCTCAAATAGATGGAGAATCATTGTGTGTCTGTGGGGGCAGTCAAGTAATTTGTCTAAAGCAATCTTGCCATTAATTCTTGAAGGCAATTTTTTTTTTAGGTATTTCTTAACAAAAGATAGGCTCTCTAAGAGAAAATTTGTAGGTGGAGAAGTACAGATATATCCCATGTGATCTCTGTCCTTGCAAAACATGAAGGCTTCTCCATTATCATCACCCTTCACTGGAGCTAAGCATGATGGTATATTCCTATAATGTCAGGACTAAGGAGTCTAAGGCAGGGAAATTATGAATTTTATACTAGCCTGGGCCACACAGCAAGTTTAGACCAGGTTGGGCTACATAGTGAGCCTCTTTCTCAAAGCAACAAAATGAAAAAGCTTCCCCAACCCCACTTTCATTAAGAATTCTCTGTTTACTACCCAAAATAAAACAATACAAAACAAATTCACTAGTTTGTATATTTGTTACAATTGATGAGCCCATGGTGGCATGTTACTATCCAGATTTCACAGTTTGCATTAAGGTTCATTTTGGATGCAAGACATTCTATGGATTTGGGCAAATATGTAATGATTCATCATTGCATATTATACACCATTAAAATTAATGATTTTGGTGCTACACAGAGGAGTTCCTGTGCTCAGGAATTTCTCCATGCCGTCTATCTCTCTTTCCCTTCAACATCTTGCCAAACACTCTTTTTACAATTTGCCTTTTCAAGAATGTTGTACAGTTGAAGTCATGCAATGTGTAAGTCGGTCACACGACACCTTTCTTGCAGTGTTACACTGAAATTTCCTCCATGTCCTTTAATGGTTTGGTAGTTCATTTCTTTTTGACACAGTGATATTCCATTTTTTTCAGTGTACAAATTTATTCCTCTATCCGTTGAAGGAAAGACATATGGGTTTCTTCCAAGTTTGAGCCATTATAAACAAAGCTGAAGACTTTTGTATGAAAAATGATGTTCAACTCTTGCAGGCAATGCAAAAGGACATGCTTATTGCTCGTATGGCAGGAGTGTGCTCAAGATTGTTCATTATATTATATTATTATTAATTATTACTGTTCATGTGTCTCTATGTCTGAGCACTTGTGCCATGGCACAGACACATATGTATAGGTCAGAGGACAACTCTGAGATGTCATTTCTCTCTTTCCACCCTTATGTGAACTGGAATTCAGGTCACCAGGCTTGCGTTCAGGTCACCATGCTTCTACAGCAGGTACCGCGACCTGATGAACTCCCTCCCAGACCTCTCTGGATCAGTTTGATTGATTGGAAATTGGTGTACTACTTTGCAGTGTGTTTGGACCCTGTGCTTTCCAGCCAGGGTTGAAAGAGAATTTCTGCTGTTTCACATCGTTCCCATGTGGTGGTGTCAATTTCTGGAGGTTTCTAATAGGTGGGCGGGATTGTTACATCTAGTCTCCTTTCCCTGTTGATTTACGAAGTACAGTGCCTTTTTATATGCCTTTTTCCTTTTATTGAGGCTAAGGTCTTTGGTCCTCTTTTTTTTTTTTCTAACGAGTTTAGCATTAATTCTTGAGTTTGAAGGGGCATTTGCATATTATGCAAGTATGATTTTGAAAGTATTTTATCTTTTTTCTGCTTTTGTCAGCAACTTAGGAGTCTTTTTAATTTATGAGGTATAGCTTATCTCAGTTCTTCCTGTCACGGATCATGCCTTTGGTGTTGTGTGCAAAATTCACTACCTAATAGGTTGAGTTGGGAAGTGTGTCCTTTTCTGTGTGTCTTCTACAGATGGCTATAGACCACTGTTGTAATAGCACTCTTTTTTGTTTGTTTTGTTTTGTTTTCAAGACAGGGTCGCCCTGTGTAGCCCTGGCTGCCCTGGAACTCACTCTGTAGACCAGGCTGGCTTCAAACTCAGAGATTCAGCAGCCTCTGCCTATGTATAATAGCATTCTTCAATATTTGTAAATTTTACAAGTGAGTTTATCTGGGCCTGATGCTTTCTGTTTGGGAAATTAAATGATAATTTCTTCAATTTATTTAATAAGCATATGCCTATTCAGATTTTCTACTTCTTCTTGTAGAAGTTTAATTTGGCTACTAAAATTTTGTGAAAACTAGAAAACTTAAAAATATATCTTTTGTGTTCATTTAATGAGAAAAAACAAGGAATAACATTAAAAATACACAAATGTATGGTTTTGTTCTCTGCATAGTAGGAGTATGCTTGAACTTTGTTGACTCTTTTTTTATCAGTCTTTCCTATTTCCTTTACTTCTTCTTTTTTGGTGTATGTGTATTCACATGTGTCTGGATGTACACGTGTGGTGCATGTGCATGTTTGTTGGCCCAAGGATGACATGGGATGTCTTCCTGTACTGCTCTCCACCTTCAATATTGAGGCAGGGTCTCTCAGTTAAACTCCTAGCTTGCTGATTGAAGTCTAGCTAGCCAGCCTGCTCTCAGAATCCTTTGTCTCTACCTCCCACGTGGTGGGTTTAGGTGCACTGCCACACCTACCCCAGCACCCATGGGTGATGAGGATCTGAACTTTGGTCTTCACGTGTGCACATACCTACACAGACATACATACATGTGCATTATCAGCAAACAACCTTAAAAATAAAAACTCAAGCTTAACTTCATTCCACTGCTTTCCAATTTCTAAACTAATATTTATCTATATGTACACACACACACACACACACACACACACACACACACACACACACACATATATATATATATATATACTTTTGAATTGAAAAGTAGGCATTGAAGTTAAATCTCAGACAAGAATATAGAAGATGTAATGGAGAACTAAACAGAACTTGAGTCCTAATTAGTCAGAAAATAGTCTTTATTGTAGCATTTAAAAATTTCTTCTGAATAGAAATAACAATTAAAGTATTCTATGAAGAATAAAACCTAGCATGAGTAGATGGCATGCTCTCTGCTGAGTTGCTTTCCCAATATGGTGACCTGTCAATAAAATACAGCAATTAAAAGCCCCATTTAATTTCCAAAAGAAAAAATAACTGAAATATTTTTTGTGTACTCTCATGTATAATTTATGGAGGTTTAATGAAAGAAAAACTATGTAAAACGAAAACTATTGATTGGTTTTTCTGCCTTTTAAAATAAGGAAATCAAGTCAGAAATGATTCTTGATCTTAAAAACCCAAAACTTTCAAGACTTACTGGACTTAAAATCTTTACAGTGTTGCCTAACAATAGTATCTTGCCAACACATATTTCTAGAATGATTCTTGTATTAGATGCTTAAGTATCTAAAATAGGCAAAACCACAAAAAATTAGCTTTCTTTTGGCACTCTATCATGTCCAGTTTAAGTTTCTGAGGAAAATTCAATTCTTTTATGTGAAGTTTTAAATATGATTTTCATTTCTACCCCAAATTCATTGTTCCAACATCTAAATTTTCTCCTTAGTTTTCAATTTTAATAGGATCCTATGTGTGTTCAAAATTCATTCTTTTCATTTGTTACCTACCCCTGATGTTCCCTACTCCTGCTCACTGATGTATTTTGATTCACTTCCTACCATGTACCGTGATTTTAAGCTTTGGACATAATGGTTTGTGAGAACCCAGCTGAGAGACCAGTTCCCACATTTTACAACAGGCTAGCCTGAGCTACATGAGACCCTGCTTCAAAATAACCAACAGTAACTAACTAAACAAACAAATAAAACCTTAATGGCTTAAACCTCAGATAATTATTTCCCACAATTATCTAAGTCGGGAATCGTTAGGGTTCAGTATCATGACTGTGTTTACATAAAGCTCTTTTGGCATTGGAACAGGAAAAGGTGTCTCTACTTCCAGTACCTTTCTCAGCGTCATTCCCAGTAAGAGTGTGAATTCCTTTCTATACTAAGGGGCTTCCTTCCAATAGAGCAGAAGGCTAAAGCTTTTGGTTTCTTGTCGGTTAGCCAAAGAACTAGAAAGTCTTTATTCAAGGGGAATACAATTACTCTCCAATTCTG